CACTTGTCAGTGCAACTTGTTCTTTCCTTAATGTTGCTCTAACAATTTATGTCAACCAACGCGAACCAAGTTTTTATCCTATGTGCATCACAATGTAGTGCTAAAATGGAGATAAAGTTCTCATAAAGTAAAATGCAAATGTTTGCCTTGTGTTATCTAAAAAACACACTTATGCCGGCCATAGACCGTTCGAAAATCAGCAGATTTTTCTGACGAAAAAAAAATCGGCCAATTTTTGTGGCCGAAAAAAAAAAAATCGGCCAATTTTTGCACTGTTAGGGGGTTAATTGGTTGGTCGTTTTTCGGGTTTTTTGCACTTTGAGATTATCGGTCATGTTGGAAAATTTGCGGCCGATTTTGGCAATGATGGCCAATTCGGCCAATCATTTTAATGATAAAAAAATCTGCGCATGAGCCGTGACCTGCAAGGGACAGAAGTTATGGGATTAACTTTATGATTTAGTCAGCCGATTTTTTTATTGGTTGGTGGTAACGTCGGCCGAACGAACAATCGATTTTTCATTTATCGTTTGAAAAATCGGCCGGTGTTCGACCTGTCTATGGCCTGCATAGCATGGTATTTTAATCAGACTGTTAATTAAACTCCAAAGACATGCTAGTAGGTTAATTGGCTCGTGTCTAAATTGGCCCTAGTATGTGTATGTATGAGTGTGAGTTAGGGACCTTAGAGTGTACGCCCCTTGAGGGTTAGGGACTGATATGAATGTACAATATATATGTAAAGCACTGTGCAAATTGATGGCCCTATATAAGTACCTGTAATAAATAAAAAATAAATTATGTGCAGTTTACTAAACAAGAGCAAATAGCAACTTGATATAAAAATGGTATATCATTTTTGTTTCAAGTTGCTTTTGGTGCCTAATAAATTCCAGATTTTTGCATTCTCCTTTTCCATTAATTTAATTTATGGGATGTGGCACTTATATTTTTTTCCTAACTAGATTGCCATCCTGAAGCTGTTTGCACTTTTATCTTTAGTTTGTCCAAAGAACATACTGTACATACACTGCAGAATAATTCAAAAAAGATTATTAAAGGTGCTCAAGCATGGACTCCTCGTGGCATTCTTTCAGTGGCTCAAACGGGGGTAACAAGGGTAATGTGGATGCATATCATAGTTTCTATAGGATTCTATAGCAACCAAGGGTTGAGCTGAGAATCACTACCCTCAGTATAACAGTACAGAACACAGCTACTGGCAGTTATCCCATAGACAGCATCCTTCAGAGTAATGTCCAGGGTGGCTTTAAAAACACAGGTGAACTGCTGGAAGGATCCAAGCCTTAGAACGAAGTGCCACCACACTGGAAGTGATGTACTCTGGTATCAACTTGGGAGGGACTCCCTGCAGTAGTTGGGTTTTTTGGAGAAACTGCATACTATTAGGTTCCAGCCAAGCTCTCTCAGTTGCTAATGAAGCAAGCTGAATAACTATTTTCCTGGGGATCCAGCAACTTAGGGAGTTATGGAAAAAGGAATGAAAGGTTCCCACACCTGCATCTCTTCTGCTCCCCATGTTGATCCCAGTCATATTTCTCAGTGTTCAAAACTGAAGTGTTTGATTAGTCCCACCATGCATGCAGTCAATCAGGTGGTCAGATTTTGCATTGGGGCTTTGAAATGCAAAGTTCCTCTATGTAGAAAGCTTCAGAAGAAAAGCTACACAAAAGAGAATGGGCCCAGGAGCAGGATGGAGCTTTCAAAATTATCAGGGCAGAGAGTGGATTTGTAGCCTCATAAATTACTTCTACATCTGTTAAAGTAGAACTTCACTCTCTCAATCATCATGGACTATTTCTTATGCTTATGCTGCTAGCATTAGTAAATAGATAGGATAGCATATTATACTGTATTTACATGTTTTAACCTTTTTTTGCATTTCTTCATTTACTTCCTGGTTTCCTTGCCTAGGCAAATGATGTCATACATCCCAGGAGTCTTGAGGTGGGGAGGGAGGGTTCTCAGCTCAGCCAATGCCTGAGCTAAGGACAGATGGATTCCAGGAAGTAACTGCTACATACTCAAGATGGCCACTGCCAGAAATGCCAGGAGGTGTTTTTCAAAATGATTTCTGAGCAAAAAAGCATGGAGACATGGATAGATGGAGGAGTTTGTTTGAATCTTAAAACTTAATTATATAGCATTTTGGTTTGTGGTGCTTGGATGCACTGAAGTTCCACTTTAAGTGATAAGATAATGAGATCGGAAACATGTTTATGACTAGTTTTGAAGTTATGATTCAGCTCATTGATTACCATGATGTGTCATTAGCTGTCTAGGATTGTATCAAGCATGACAGATAATACATCTCAGTATTAGGATGACTTTCCCTTTCAGGGAGGGTAACTATAAAAAAAAAATAGTGTAATGCTAAACAGCTCACACGAGTGTGACTTGTCATGCAACTTGACATTTCAAAGTCATATCCCATTTGCGGTAATGGAACCATTCAAATCAATGCAATTTAAGTTGTGATGACTTTGAAAATGGTTCCTGCACTATTTCTGTCTAACTTCATTGAAACTTGCATTGACATCTGTTAAATGAAATGGCACAAATGTCAGCAAGCTGCACATGAAATTGTACATGGAGATGAGTTGCCGCAAATGAATGTCCCTTGTTAGGTCCATAGTCCCACTGTTGGGGGAGAAAAAGGAGGGGGAAAACAAAGGAGAACACCACTGCTGAGTCCGGAAGAAAATCCTCGCGGGCTCCAGAACAGTAGACACTTCAAGGCTAGCTTTCAGGGTAGAGCAGAAGCAGGTCTCCAATGTGACATGTAGAAAGAGAGGTAGAGAAGGCGCCACTGAGTGTACACTGTAATATGCTTTATTAAAACATTGCTGTGGATACACTCACATTTGGGAAGATACATACAGGCACATCTGTAGTCTATACGACTGCATTCCACCGTACTTCACAGCGGTGATCCGGTCCTGTTCCACCTCATAGCCATCTCTGGACCCAGAATTTGGACATCTTTCACCCGCAGCTGATCCACATCAGTCCCGGATGATTCTTATAGACTACAGAGATGCTTTTATATATCTTCCCAAATGTGAGTGTATCCACAGCAGTGCTGTAAAGTGTATTACAGTCTGCACTCAGTGGTGCCTCCTTTACCTCTCTTTCTACATGCACATGAAATCGTACTAAAAGTCGGCTAAAGTAGCATGCCTTCAAAGCCTCACAGGTGTGAACCAAGGTTAAAACGTGGAGTGATAAGGTAATTTGCTGACTTGAATCACAAATTCACATTGTAAAGATACTTACCAACAGGAACACTCTTTTTGTTTTGGCAGCTCTCCAATTGCAACTTTTGTCTGCTCCTTTCTAGCCTCCGGGCTCTTTCCTAGGCCTAGAGTGTGTCTGGCAGCTGGGAGGAACTTTTTGGAGGGATATCGGGCTATGACGGGCACAGTACAGAATGATGTGGTAGTGCAGGAGGAAGAAGGTCCCATTTCCACTATATAATGACCCCTTTTAGAACGTTGTTTCCAGTTCTGGAGACCCCACTTACAAAAAGATAGAATGTGTCCAGGGAAGGCAACAAAAAATGCTCCTAGGTATAAAACATATCAAGGAATTTAAAATTTGTGAACCAAGCCCTAGACCTCACCCTGGAGGATCCCATGCCACCTGTTAGCACGTGAGCTCACTTCTTGCAGAAGTGGAACAATACATCCCTTTATTTTTTTAGTAGTGTATGATACAACTATTGGAATATAATTATCATGCCTACTGTATTGGACATCCTCTGCTAACTCCATACTCTGTTCTGTATTCATAAAGCCAAGTGCTGTATCTCTTTGTGTGTACTCTTCCTGTTCTTGAATCCACACCTTTTGTACTTTGTAAACCTATAAAAATTCACCTGTTATTAAAAAAAAAGAAAACAACAAAAATTTGAATCACTGGAACAAGTATGGAGATAAGGAACTTCTGAGTTTACTCCAATCTTCCTGATCTGCATTCATGTTTCATGTGAGGGATTCAGAAAGTGTTGGAGGCAGGGGATTAGTCTAACAGACAGGCAACAAACATATTTAGAAGGAGGTCACAAGCCTGATATAGTCTGTATTTTCCTCATGACAGATTTTTACTTTAAACTTTCCCTAATCTCAAAGAATGACAACAAACTCAAAACCCCAAAAATATCTTAAAAATGAGGAAATCGCCATGTTCAACAGGTTTGTCAAGATATTTATTTGTGCTGTCAGACATTCAGGTTGTAACTTTACTTGATTGTGGCAATACTCCAATAAATGTTCCTTGTACAAATGAATGTAATAGTCTGGTTTTGTTTCCAAGTTAAATCTGTATAAAGCATTAATAAAAAGTGTGCCCCAACAATTTTCAAATGTTAAAGAAGGTTATTTATTAAAGTAGAGCCATAGGCAAAACTTTATGTTTTCATTTTGGATAGAGCAAGGAAGGCATAAGCTATAACACCCTAAAAAACTTTAAAAGGCATAAATTATAAAACCCGTCAGATTATTTTTCATCATCTGTGTCCCATTGTGGAGATTTTCATTCACTCCTGTCCCATAGCCAAACAGGAAGTGAGAGGAAATCCCTGCAAATTAGGGGAATTCCTTGGGATCCCCCAGGTCACCAGAACTAGTGTCCCAATTGGAAGGTTTCCTCTCTCTTTTTTTACTTACAGTTTCAACGATAATGGTAAACAGGACAAGCAGAGGGTGAATCTCCTTAACACACAGACAGCAAAAAAAAAAAAAACCTGACAGGCGTTCTAATCCCTCTCCCCTCTATCCAAAATTTAGAAATATTTCTACAACAATATTTTAGAATTTGTTTTAAGAGGGGTTGCATTATTTTCACAGCCATTGCATTTGGAAGAGGGTAGAGAGTTTGGGGCCTGTAACTTAACTCTCAACTTTTGGATATACGGATATACTTTTGGAAATACTCCACACTTGTGATCTTGTATAGACCATGTATCTGATTTTCTGCAGGTTTCCGGTAAAACATTACATCAGAGGATACTAAGATTTTCTGTCTACCATGTGGATAAAATAAAGAAGCACCATCTTTTAGGACAGGTTCTCTTCCCCCTGAAAAATGAGAATTTAACAGATGATGGCAAGCTGGTCATTTGGCGGGATCTCGAACAAGAGAGTTCAGAGGTAAGAGGGTACAGAGAATTAGAACTTCAAATTCCTTGACAAACTGTGCTGTATAACTGTAACTAGAAAAATAATACATCATTTGAGTACAGAAGTGTATCACTGCCCATGGTAGTCCCCCCCAATCAGAAAAGGGTGGAGAACTAGGATTCTGGAAAACAGAAAGGGATAGAGGACAATGAGAACGGGGAAAATGTGGGGGGAGGCGAGGGAAGGAGGAGGAAAAACTAGGGTAAAGGAGGAAAGAAATGCAGGACTCAGTAAAGGAATGGGGAAAGAGCTGAAGAAAAAGAAAAAAGGGAAAAAGAGGGGAAAATGTAAGAAAAAGGAAAGATGAAACAAAAAAAGAGAAAAAAGCTGAAGAGAAAATGGCATATATGCACATTTCATTTAAAATTCACAAATGATTGCGATAATATGGGGAGCGCAATATGATCACAACCAAACATGATAATCCAGCCATGTGTGATTTTTTTTGTTGGATTTGAAACTGGGAATTAGTATTCATTTGTCATATTGGGGTTTACTGTCCCAAAAATCAAATTGTATTCCTTTCAGAGTTCTAGATCCCAATTAAATATCCAATATACTGTTCTTCTACTCAGTAAGGAGGGACAGATCTCCTCCCCTAATGGGGTTGTCATCAAGAAGTTTTTTTTTTTTTTTGTAATTTATCAGATCCAGTGTTAAACTTAGGGACATCCACAAAATGACATGCTACACTGGTATTTCATTGGTCTTCTGATATTGGGAAGATACATACAGGCACATCTGTAGTCTATACAAAGTCTCTGAAATGGTCACACTTCCACCAATTGATTTGTTAAAGTAGGGCCCAGTGTGAGCGACCTCATTCACAAATGATTGGATAATATGGGGAGCGCAATATGAGTCTCACAACCAAACATGATCCCTGTATCCAGCCATGTGTGATTTTTTTTTGTTGGATTGAAACAGACTGGGAATTAGTATATTGCCAATCATGGGTGCTGTTGTAGCCACAAAGCGATCTCCTGGAGACAATTCTTCTTTAATTCTGAATCTCTTTGTATATCAGGTAAATACCTGCATATCTTGATTTTGAAAAATTTAACATCGGTTGAACAGGTTATATAACATGTTTCTGAAAGAAGCCAACTGGGGGGCTTTTGATAGGACTGTACAGAAGAGGGGTGGACTGACCATTTGGAAAATCGGGCACTGCCTGAGGGCCCAGGGTCAGTAGGGGGCCCCATGAGATGCCCTGGTACCTTTTTTCATAGGCTTTTTTGAGTTTGGGCAAGGACACAGGGGCCCCATGATCCCCTATTGCCCGGGGGCCCCATGAGTTGTCAGTCCGCCCCTGGACAGAAATCTAGAGTTAAGATTTAAACATTTAACTGAAGTCTGTTTGAGTATGTGTGCTGATTTAACCCTCAGTTCACACTATGCAGGCTGGTTGTGGGTGCGGGAATCGTATCTGTTCCTGCACTTACAACCACCCGCAGCCATGTAACGCTGCTCTTACAAGAAACGCGGGGTTGCCATTCATTCTGAGTTGTACCCCAACGCATCTCAGCCTGCAGCACAATTGCGGGTGCAGGAACTGAAGGGAAGCAGGATGGTCTTTCCCTTGGGCCGCATTTTCAAAACGTGCATGCACCTTTTTTGTGCAGAAGCACGAGTACAGCAGTCCATTCAAATGAATGGGCTGCTGTGCCCTAGGAAACATGGGCCGCACAGCCCGCAATAGTGTGAACTGAGCCTAAGAGAATCTTAGAGTGAAAAGGCTGTACCTTCCACTTAATTTACTCATCCTCCTAGCTGACCTGCACAAGCTTAGGAACATCACAACCCATAGTTCACAAAACTTTCCTACACAGGAGTTTCAATTTCAAACAGCAAAAACAACAAGAAAAAAGGCGAAGCCACCTGTCTTCCTTGTCAGCAGCACTGCCGCTACTGGCACCAGTCCCTCAGACCTGGCTCACTGGGTTTTTCCGGGCTCACTCAGCCTAGTGTTACAGCCCTAGATGTACATGCCCAATCCTGGCCTCTCTGTAGGGGTTCCCCTGACACCCTGAACTCTCTCACTACCTTGAGAATTACAGACTCCCTTCAGTCCCCTGGACTCGTTATTTTCCTCGGATTTCTCATCTCCCCAGACTTGTGCAACTATCGTGACTCTCCCAGTCCTGTAGTCAAGGAATTCCTCCTTTGTGGGGTTCAGTCTCTTTGCAGGTCTCTGCTTGCACAAGAGTAATAGGGAGAGGAAGTAAAAGGAAATCTCCCCAATGGGGATTAAAGACAGAAAGGAAAACCTGATAGAAATGTTGCTGTTCCCCACTCTAATAAAAACTAAAAAGAAATGTAGCTTGAGTTGGATGCTGCATGGTGTTCACACCAGAAATAGGCAAGTTCGGTACACTCAAGAAAAAGTCCTAGATCTGATGGGATGGACTAATTGACTCAAAATTTAGTTCACTATCATTTATTTACATTTTCTGGCTACCATGACCAGTATCTGATAGATAATAGGTAGTAATCACAATCAGAGTTGTTTCAGGCTATTTTATTTATAGTTAGCATCTGAAGGAGCCTACGTGACTATGCTCCAGGGAAACAACTTACATTTAGTAGGTATACTGCGTTCCTGTGTTGGTTGTAAATCAGTTATAACCCTTTTACCTTAACAGCCACCATCAGAATATGGAGACATACAGTTCTCTCTAAGCTACAATGACTACCTTGGACGTTTGACGGTAGTGGTACTTCGAGCAAAGGGAATACAATTCCAAGAAGATCGTGGTGTTGTCAGTAAGTAGAGCTGTCTACCTTTTGGAATATGTGAGTTTCATCAATATTAGAAAGTTGTGACACCAAATATCAGTATGATTTGTGTACGAAATACCTGAACAAATATTGAAAAGCAGCTGAAGATGTCCCTATATCAATTCTGCTTTGTTCAAATTACCAAGTCAAGGAATAGGTACACATTTGCTATTTACGCAAACTATTTGAACTTGTGTTTTATACTTTGTTTTGTTTGTTAAATTTTTTTCTACACATCTTTGCAGCTTGGGTCACTTATTTATTGAAAATAAAGCTGTATTTGCAGACAGATCAAAATACACTACTAGCAACCACTAACAGCAAGGTGCTTCAGTAATTGCCAATTAAAGGATTACCAGATGGAAAGACGCCCTGCGTGCATTGAAAGCATAGTTAATAAAGCGTTCAAGCAATTGCATTTTTCATTACATACGACTGTGCTTTAAATAGTGGTTTTATATATCAGCATAAGTTTCGTCATGGGTTTTATTATAGAAGAAGGCATGCGCTCTTTTGTTTAAATGCTGTTATTTCAACTCCAATAACCAGGATTTATCTAAGGAATTGCATGAGCTTTTCGTCTAAGCTGGCCATAATGGGCAATAATACAAGCATCATTAGTGACAGTTGAAAAGACTAGAAGTTATCAGGTGACCAATAAAAAGTGTTTAGGTAAAATTAAATTCTCAGTTGCAGGGTTTTTTTTAAAAAAAAAACACACACACACTCATATAGGTGAATGCAGAATGGATCTGATGTTGCATCTGTCCACCACCACCTCTACATCGAGAACTGAGTGATCAACTGCCACTGATCACTCAGTTCTCGGGTCTTCACTGAACAGAGAGCCAGCTACTGTCAATCACCGGTACTCTGCAGCTGCAGCACCCACTGGTGCTCTGGGCTGCGGAGGGGGTAGGAGTGACTGGCTTAGGCTCTCAGTGGCTCGATGTTAGGGGATCCTGAAATTAAAGTTGGGAACTATCCAGAGTTTGGACCAGGTCTGTGATGTCAGCTGACAGTGGGCTTTAGTCCGCTGTAGGTTCAATATGTTCAGAATGAAGTGCATTCTTGCTGTCTCCAGAAGTAGGGCCAGAAGACTAAGCACATGTTCATGTGAAATGTGTTTACTGTTTCTCTTCCAGTCTTGGAGCTGTCATATTCTTATTATACTGTTTGTGAAGATTCCAATGAAAGATTTTCAGTGTGGCCAACCTTTGTTTTTCGGCACTGTTCCTGGATCGAGCACCGTTGTGTGTGTGGAGGGGCTATGTGATCCAGTCCTCACCTGAAGTGGTCTGCTTGCTTTACAGAAGCGCTTTGACCTTACTTCTCCTTTACGTATGTTCTTGAGATTTTGAAACTAATTAAAGTGTATGTAAACCATAATTCTTTTACAGTATGTTTTGGACAATGCCTCACCATATACAGTTTTCATAAGCAAATTAAAAAAAAAAAACATTTTGTACATCTTATTACCTGGAGAACCTGCCAGTAACAGCACTTTCTGGTGCAGGCTGACAACATTAAACCATTGCCTCACAATTAACAGAAGTGTTGTCAGCCTGCTGTGAGTGCTACTTTAGTTGGCTTTTGGGCTACCTGATAAACCTGATAAGAAGTCCAAGAGCTAACTGAAGGAGCCACTTCAGTGCTCCCCAGGCCACTGGCACAGAGAGGGGGGAGGGGAGAGAAATCAGGGAGAGCCTGCAGGAGTGAGAACATTTTATATGTTAACCTTATAAAATGGGTGGAACATGTTACATGTTCCCAAAAATGAACTTATCCTTTAAGCTGGCCATACATGGATCAAAATTGGACCAGTTCATTGGATGTCACATAGGTTTTAATTTTAGCCTTTTAAACTTTTGTGAATATATTTTGCAGTGTGTTTATATAGTCAATCTGAATTATTCCCATTACTGTTCTGTGTTCTTTAATGAAAACATTCTCTCCCAGTCTAAATCTTGGAGAACAACCCTCAGTCTTGGAAAATGTGTTTAAAATTAAGTGTTTTTTAGCTTTCCAGTATGAGCTTGTTTACAGCGAATATTAAATGTAACCATTTTATGGTCACTGCTACCCAACTGTTCCTTAATATGAACATTGGTAATACTTTCTGCGATGTTTGAGATTAATAGGTCCAGCAGAGCACCAGTTTCTAGTTGTAGCTTCTATAAACTGCACTATTAAATTGCCTTGTAATAGATTTCTACATTTCTTCCCTGTTACTGTTCCTGCAGTGCCATTACTCCAGTCAATTTCCGGGTAGTTAAAATCCCCCATTATTATCACTGTCCCAGCCCTTGCAGCCCTTTCGATCTGTGCAAGGAGCTGAGTCTCCACCTCCTCATTAACACTGCGAGGCCTATAACAAACTCCAATGATTACCTTTGAAGTACACATAGGCTGGCCATACATTATACAATTTTCTGTCCAATTTCCTTTAGATTTACCTTCAACTATGTAGTGCAAGAGCATGCCTAATTGGATACAATTGAAAGTGTTGTTAGTTTTGACCTCATATTATATGGTTTTTGGTAAATCTAAACCAAAAATCTCAAGAAAATTGTATTATCTATGGCCAGCCATACGCATATACAGCTCCACCCATAATACTTCAGCCTCATCACACTCTCAATCAACAAGATCCTCTTTCACATTCGCTCTGAAATCCCTTCTCACATAGAAACAGACACCACCACCTTTTCGTTTTGCCCTGTCTCTCCGAAAGAGAGCATAGCCAGGAATATTAATGGCCCAGTCATGTGAAGAATGAAGCCAAGATTCAGCAATACCAGTGAAGTCATAGTTCTCTTCAGGCACCAAAGCTTCAAACTCTCTTGTTTTGCTTTGCAGACTTCTGGCATTGGTGAACACTTTAACCTCCCTAGCGGTCTGATTATTTCAGATTTTTGGTGCTGAAAGCGGTACCATTATTTTGCATGGAAATAAGTAGTTTTTTATTGTAGGCTGTAATTTTTAGGAATAACTCATCGCTGTTCTCTAGCTGGTCTAAAACCGCTTTTGACCTAAAGGGACACTTTTTGGACGCCATGGACTTTCTCAGTTTCCAGGCAGAAAGAACAGACAAAATGCAGGCAGGGCACAGGACAAAGCACTAAGGACAACATGTATGTGAAATGGGTTGAAACAGCAATGTTTTGCTATGTAAAATTTGTTTGGAAAAAAATTAAATTTTTAAAAATTTTCAAATTTCCCGCCGCCGCCGGCGGCGCCCGTACGTCCCGACGTCACAGGGACCGGAACATGGATGCCGGCATCGGCCGGAGGAGATGGCCGGGGACGCTGCAGGGGACGCATCGCGGGAGTGAAGGACAAGGTAAGCTCTGCAGGGACTCCCTATGCAGCGCCGCATGGTAAGCCCGAGTGTAGCTCGGGGTTACCGCTTTTGGCACTGACATTTTACCCCGAGCTACACTCGGGAATACCGCTAGGGAGGTTAATTAATTGTTTCATTTTGCACTTACATTGTGCATATTGTAAAAGGGACCAGATGTTTGCTACCCAGAGTACAATAAATGCACATCAGGGCCAATGAGTGCAGCACAATGTATTCTCAAAGTTCCAACAAGGTGACAACAGGACCTGAATATAAGATAACCAGTCCCAGTACAGCAGTACCTTACTACAGGATTCAGAACACAGTCTTAGTACTGATGACACCTATGGAGGCCTCAGAGAAACAAGATTTCTACTTCTCCTCCATCCTCTCTGCACAGCAGCTTAGTGCCTTAATAAAAGTCACAAAATCAAATGTGTCCTTTTGGTGAGTTATAAACTACCACAGTTCCCTAGTGAAATCTGACATTTGACCAAGCTCTTTATGACTAAATTATATTGGTTTAACCATACCATTACATTCCCTCTATCCCCTTTTGGTTTTCCATGGATCAAATGGCAGCCGTAGGGTTGGCGTGGACATAGTGTGCTCAATTCACTAAAGAATATCTCATGAAATAATTGAATCATGAGACACATTTTTTCCACTTATCTGATGAGATAATGAAAATGTCAATTCATTATCACTTATGAGGTATTTACCTCAAAAAGCAAAACACATTTGGTAAATACCTCATAAAACGGTGTTAAAGTCAATTCACTAAAGGAAATAAAGAAATGCATGAGGTAAATATGTGGTGGTCCAGCCATGAGGTATTTAAGGAATGTAAAAATATAAATAGCCAGTCTTGAGTAGTTTCTACCTTTTTGGATCAGTTTTTCAACAGTAATGCATAGAAACCTAAATATGGAAAAACACAGAATCATTGGGTCCTCACATTTTGATGAAATAGCTCATGCTTTATTTTATTCCTTTTTGTGAATTGCAAAAAAATTTATGATAAACGCTTTGAGCTATAGTGATGGGTCGAACACCCCCAGTTCACGGTCAAACATTCAAACCTAACGAAAGTTTGACTGCAAACTTTGAACTCAATACAAGTCTATGGGATTCGAACTTGTAAATTCAAAAGTGCCCATTTTAAAGGTTTATAAGCAAGTTATTAGCCATAAAAGGGGTATGGGGACTTGGGTACTGCCCTGAGGGACATGAATCCGTGGGCAAAAAATTTTCTTCAAAAAGTACCGTTTTTAAAGGGGCAGTCATTTTTCATTGCTTAAAGTAAAACAAAAAAAAATTCCTTTGAATATTATGCCTGGGGGATCCCCTTAAACTACCTGCAAAGTTGCACATCTGTACAATGTATAGAACCTGCTGCAGCAGGACTTACATTTTTTTTTTATCAATTACATTTTTTTATAAAAAAAAAAGAAGAACACCCCCAGTCCAGATCCTTTATGTCTGGTAGGAAGGTTAGGATGGACCCCACAGTAAAAAAAAAACTCCCCTCCCCTCCCTTTCCTGTGCTCGGATCAAAGGTCTGGTAGGAATTTAGGGGGGAGTCTACCCCCATTCTTTCAGGGAAGGGTTCCCCTTAAAAGTCCTACCAGGCCTAAAGGGT